AAACAAAATATTCTCCCACAGCAGTTGAAAGAAGCTAGTGGGGACAAAACTCTCAAAGCACAGCCATATTTGGAACTCATGCGAATCTATACTGAGTCTAGCTCACAAAGCAATGAACTACTTTTCCTTGATAGTTAACATACATCGAAGCAGCCAGGTAGCTTGCGTGCAGACGTCTCCTATTTCCTTTGATACAGATGACTGCTTTGAAAAATGTAACTGACCATGTTATTACCAAATTTCTAAGACTACTTTGATAACCTGGTTCTGCTTTTAATATTATGAGATCTACTTCACTCCAAGAATTCACGATATTGAAGTGATATAAAATAACATAACATAAAATAAAATAACATCAGTTTATTTTGTGAAACAATTTGTTTGAGATCAGTTTGCCCAGTATAATGAACCTAAATGGAACCTAATTCACTCATTTTCCTGACCCAGTTAAATCACTAAACTTCAAAGTCATTTGCCGGCCATTTGGCTTTCTGCAAAATACCCTTGATGACCCTTTCCTGCATCAAAACCATTGGATTGCATTGTGTAATATTCATCCCTGGGTATTGTTATTCATGACATTATAATAAGGTATGGGGAATAAATCTGACCTGGAACAAGCCCAAGACAGACTGAATTGAATATAGGTAATCTGGAACCTAATTTACTCGCTGGGGAGCGCGGGTAGGTCGCCAATCGCCCTTCGTGTCGGACAAAGTGAAGAGAATGGGACAAAGAGTGCCAGTGTTTCCTATTATATATACTCATTTGCATGATATTTACAATTCAGATGGAACGTGAATAGCATGCAAGGTTCTCACTCACTGCAAATCCTTAAATCCCCCACCCCCAAGAATGAGATCCCAAACCCCTCCCCTCCTTTTGAAGAAACGTGAAAACAGTGTCATAAAATAATCAAATTACCTCTTCTTGTGCACAAAACATTTGGTACAATTCATACCATACAATATTACTGTATCAAGTACTGTTCCCCGGGTAGAAGGAGGGGGTACTATAATGGCCTATACAGAGGGGCTCTTCCCATTGCAAAAGGGTACCTTTTTCAGGCTTCAGGTACATGAAAGGGAAGGGTTTTTTATAGGTGAAGTATATGAAAGGGACATCTGCCATTTCAGTCTGTTAAAGGAACAAAATGAAATCACAGACACATCTTATGGATGTGAGAGACAAGAAGCCTGTTTTAGTGATTTATTCATATTGTAAAGAAGGTGTATTTATAGCACTTAAAAAGGGATGCAGGGTTCTAAATTAGGTATGTTAATTTTGTCTCTAGAGGGATTACAAAAGGGGTACTTTTTCTGTCTAAAATGATATATAAAAGGGTAAGGGGTTGGTCCCTTGGAGGAGCCTCTTCATATAAAACTTCGGTGAGTACCTCCCCCCCCCCCCCCCCACTCTGGGTTACTGTTAATCTATTCTGATTCCTCTCTTTAAATGGATTTCCTGCCCCTTTTTTAAAAAACCCGATATGTTTAAAGAAATTATGCCCGGAGGAGAGGAAATAAAATCAAGGAAAATGGGTAGCAACATATGTTGTGTTATTTTACATGAAGCATTGAATAAGTGTAATGTAGCCACCATACACATACACTCGTATTTACTAAAAAGGAGCAACTACAGAATACAGGGCCACTTTTTTACTGTCGAGGCTGCTTCGATCTACGTTATCTGCAGCATTAAGCCAAAACCTAACAAAACGCGTCAAACAAAAGTAGTTCATTGCTTTGTGGGTTAGACTCAGTCGGATTCGCTTGAGTTCCAAATATGGCTGTGCTTTGAGACTTTTTGTCCCGACTATAGCTTCTTTCAACTGCTGTTGGAGCGGGCTGTTAGCATATTTTTTTTCCTACGGATAATTGTTTCGTAAAACGCAAAGAGGCCCCTCCGCATTATTTCAAGCACCTCATGAGCATGTAGGTCAAGTAAAATGGCGACGTTAAGTGTCGTTTCGACGCTTCTCTATCGTCCCGAGTTCTTTATTCTGCCATCTTGGATATTTTGTGGGGGTTACCGCTGACTATTCTTCCCAGACTTCTGTTCCCCGTTCCCTGCTCTCCGATCCCCGTTTTAGTAACGTCCAAAACGGTCAGTATAAGACACGGACTGCGGACTGGGTATAGAATACGGACTAGGTATAAAACGCTGACTCCGGACTGAGTATAAAACACGGACTAGGTATAAAACACGGACTACGGACTATGTATATAAAAACAGCTTTAGAAGGTAAAACTGAGAGAAATGGAAAGCGGACTAGCAAAAACAGTAGTCCCAGTTTGAACATCCCCTTGGCTGTTCACGTAGTATATTCTTTCCACGGAGAAGGAAGGTTTATGCCGGTACTTAAGGTAACTGAAATTAAACTCTGAATTTTATAAAAACAAGGAGTTTGAAGAGATTTCAATTTGCAGTTTTAAACCAATGAGAAGCACCGAATTAAGAAAAATAGTATTGGTGTTAGTCAGATCAGTAAAATTCTTATCGGATGCCACAATTCCGTTTCAAATAAAGCCTTGGAAATATGAGGACTGAATGAAGAACTCAGACGAGAAGGTCAATGCGATGCACAAAAGCAGTATTTAGGTGGGAGGGATTACTCACATACGTGAATAATAACCGAAATGAGTCATCCAACGTTATATTCTAAGCGATGATTATTACGACATGATTTACACCCTGCTCCTGATCCCCGGAGGGGAGTACTACTGGGAATTCTTGGTGGGGGTGTGGTGCCCGGTTCTCCGAATCCTGACCTTATTGCAGACCAAAAAATTGTTATTTTCCACACCCGTTTTCAGACTAGATCTCTAAAATCCATACCCATTTTCGGACCTGGCCTAATTTAGCCTGTTCCAGGCTCTCAGGTAGTTGGGGAGACTCCCCAGTTTTCTTCCGTTTTATTTTCGTGTTTTCGCTTCCTCAATTCAGCAGACCCAACTATCTCAGAGCCTTGAACAGGTTACGTCTAATTAGGCAGAAATGTTGTCATCATTACCAAGTTAGAGCGGAAACAAAAAAATTTTCCAAATGCATTTCGAATTCGCACATTTCTATTTCGTTTTTATTCATTTGGAATTGAAACGATAAATACGTCCATTCATGTACGCTCCCGTAGTTCCCGCGAAAACCATACCCGATTCCACACCAAAATGGGCAAAGTGTTTTCAGACCAAAAAGGCCCAAACCCCCTACCCTTCAATTATATAAGGGATTACCACCCCTGATCCTGACCTCTTTCATGATTGTTATAGACCAAGACAAGGTCTAAAAATTAGTGAAGAAAATAGCATTTTGATCTGGCTTATGATTTGGAGAACCGGGCGGGACACCTCCACCAAGAATTTACAGGAGTATTTACAACTTAAACTCACGTGTCTTGCTATTTAGCGATGTTTTGATCTTATTTTTCCTTACCTAGAACCAATTTGCACGGTTTTTACCAAAGTAGTCCGTAGTCCGTCTTTTATACCCAGTCCGCAGTCCGCAGTCCGCGTTTTATACCTTGTCCTTGTTTTATACCCAGTCCGTATTTTCTAGTCCGCGTTTTATACCTAGTCCGTATTTTATACCCAGTCCTCAGTCCGTAGTCCGCAGTCCGCAGTCCATGTTTTATACTGACTGACGTCCAAAAGCATCTGTTTTGCTTGCTTGTATGTGTCGAGACTTTAAATTGCTTGTACGTGCTTAATTAATGCCCATAGTGTAACCTTTGAAAGAGGCTCGCTCTGCGGCGACATGTGGGGGTTTTGTTGTTTGCACGGATGAATTACGATTCAGATATTGTCACTATAAGCTTTTCAGTCTACCCATCAGCTACACCATATCCGGCTATTTGATCTCTAAAAGACCTTTCGTCGACTCATGAAAGAAATGCAACGAAGTGCAGCTGAAGGTTACCAACAAGACTCTCTTTCCAAGCAAAAAGTGGACGGTGAAGACTTCATCCAAACAGATGTCTGCCCCAAAGCTGGAGACGTCATCTTGGATTTAGGCTGTGGCACAGAACTGCACAGGAGAGCTCTCAGCATATCTAGCTGAGCTGGTAGGACCCCGAGGAAGTAGTATAGATAATGATTCTTTACTGCTCACTCACTCGTACTTTTCCCCGTCATTTTTCAATTATTTCCCTCATTTATCTCCAAAAATAAATGACGGAATTTAGACTAAAAATTTTTGTACTAATTTTTACTCATTTCAGTGTTTATTTTCTATCATTCTTTGATTAAATTCTGTCTTCTATCATTGACTTTTTTTAGTCTATTTTCTGTTATTGAAATTTTTTTAATAATTTTAGAGTTTATTTTCTATCATTCTTTGATTAAATTCTGTCTTCTGTCATTTACTTTTTTAGTCTATTTTCTGTTATTGAATTTTCAACATTTTTTTGATTTTGAATTAGAAAATAAAAATGATTTAAAGAATTTAATATAATAAAATAATATAAGAAAATGACTGATAAATCAGAGAATTCTATTTTAAACAATAAAGATTATAAGAGTTTATCTTTGGCTGAATTAAAAAAAATATTAAACCAGAAGAAACAAATAATAAGGGAAAATTATAAAGAATTAACTGAAAAAGAAAGAATAATTCGTGATATTAAAAAAATAGATAAACTTAATGAAAAAATAAAAAAAGGTGTTAATATAAAAAAAGAATGGGAAAATAAATATAAAAAGTTACGATACAAAAAAATTAAAAAGATAAAATCATTCGATGATTATTTTAAGGAATGTATAAAAAATAAAGAAATTCCAGAAGATACTCCTCCTTATTTTCGTGAAGCTCTTGAGATAGCTATTAAGAAGCATAATCAAGGAATTATAAAAGAAAAATCAGCTTTAGATGAATTTGCTAAAAAACATATAATCAAGGGAGAATCTGGTATTACTCCTTTACAGTTCTTTGAAAATAAAGTATCTATTCTTAAAGGTTTTCTTAGAAATAATCGAAATATTAAAGTAAGGTTTGTATTGGTTTGTATGATGGAAAAAATGGAAGGCGATCAAAAACTAAGATTTGAAGTTCAGGATAAAGCATTTTTTCATTCGGATAATTATATTAATCTTAAATCAACCAATGTAAAAGAACAACTTAAAAGAATTATTAGTAACATCATAGACAAGATTAATATTTATCAACAAAATGGTAGTGGGTGGTATTTTAAAGAAGTTATTCAACTTGAAATTCATACTGTTAAATTTAATCCAATGAAAGGTTCTTCTTATATTCCTCTTCCAGATTGGATTAAGAGAAAAAAAGCAATTGTTAGTATTCGAAATAAAGATTCCAAATGTTTTTTATGGTCTGTACTTCGATATCTTTATCCAAGAGAAAAGAATGATTGTCGTTTGACAGATTTAAAACAATATGAGCATGATCTTAATATTCCTAAGGGATTTACTTTTCCAGTTAAAGTCAGAGACATTACCAAATTTGAAGCTCTTAATCCAGATATACCAGGAATAAATGTATTTTCACTCAGTGATAATAAAACGTTTTATCCTCTTCGAATGGCGTTACGTGATCCACAAAAATCGATAGATTTATTTCTTTATGAAGAGAATGGTAAATATCATTATTCTTTGATTAAAAACTTTTCTCGTCTTTTTAGGTCACAAATAACATCTAGAATAAATGAGTCAATTCAAATTTGTAAGAGATGTTTTAATTATTTTACTAAAGAAGAATTATTACAAAAACATATCTTATATTGTTCAAATAATGAGTTGGTTTCTGTAAAAATGCCAGCTTCTAACACAATGTTATATTTTAAAAATCATCACAAACAACTTCCTATTCCTTTTGTAGTTTATGCGGATTTTGAATGTTTTACTAAACCAATGAATACTTGCTGTCCTAATCCAAAAGATTCTTATAATTACAATTACCAAAAACACGAACCTTCAGGATTTTGTATTTTTATTAAAGGAGTGGTTGATAAAAAAAATCAAACCAATTATTTATTCGAAAACAGAAGAAGACGAAGATATATCAAAAGTATTCGTAGAAAAACTTACAGAAGCAACTAGAGGTATTTATAATGATTTTTATCGTAGACCAAAACCTCTTATACTAACCCAAGACGAACAAAAATTATTTGAAAAAGCGGAAATTTGTCATATTTGTAATAAAGAATTATTGGAAGACAAAGTTAGAGATCATTGTCATTTTACGGGTCAGTACCGTGGTGCTGCTCATAACAGTTGTAATCTTAAGTGTAGGAAACCATTAATTCTTCCAGTTACATTTCATAATCTTCAAGGGTATGATGCTCATTTGTTTATAAAACAAATTGCAAGTTTACCAGGTGAGTTAAATTGTATTCCTTCAACGGAGGAAAAATACATATCCTTTTCTAAAAAGATTAAAGTTGATGAGTATAGGTCTAAAAAAACTGGCCAAATGATTCCGTTGTATTTTGAAATACGTTTTATAGATTCGTTTAAGTTTCTTCAAACATCACTTGCTAATCTTGTTTCAAATTTACAACCAGATGATTTCCATAATACAAAACAAGTATTCAAGAAGAATGTAGATCTACTTACTCGTAAGGGAGATTATCCTTACGATTATGTTTCATCGCTTAAAAAACTATCCGAAACACAATTACCACCAAAAGAAGAATTTTATTCGAAACTAAACGACGAAGACATAACTGATGATGATTACCAACATGCAACTAATGTATGGGATAGTTTTAAATGTAAATCATTAAGAGATTATCACGATCTTTACCTAAAGACTGATGTCCTACTTTTGTCAGATGTATTTGAAAACTTTAGAAAAACTTGTCTAAAACATTACAATTTAGATCCAGCGCATTATTACACATCTCCAGGTTTAGCTTGGGATGCGTGTCTCAAAGAAACAGGGCACGAATTACAGTTACTACATGATTATGATCTGTTAATGATGATTGAAAAAGGTATTCGTGGTGGAATAACACATATATCGAAAAGATACGCAGAAGCTAATAACAAATACATGAAAAATTACAATCCTGATGAGGAGTCAACCTTTATTCAATATCTAGATGCAAACAATCTTTATGGATGGGCAATGTCTCAATCAATTCCAACACATGGATTTAAATGGATGAGAAACATAACAAAAGAGTCAATAATGGAAATTTTAGAGAAAGCAAATCATAGTATGTCAAATCGTGGAAGAAAAGGATATATATTTGAAGTTGATTTGGAATATCCTTCTTCGCTATGGGAAACACATAATGACTATCCTTTAGCACCTGAGAAGATGATTGTTAATGGTGTTGAAAAACTAATTTGTCATTTTAAACCAAGAAAAAACTATGTTGTTCATTATCGAAATCTTAGACAATATCTTGAGATGGGAATGAGAATAACTAAAGTTCATAGAGGAATATCTTTTAACCAAAGACCTTGGATGGAACCTTATATAAGAAAAAACACGGAACTTCGAAAAACAGCAGCTAACAGTTTTGAGAAAGGCTTTTTCAAACTGATGAATAATTCAGTATTTGGAAAAACAATAGAAAACATAAGAAAAAGACAAAATATAGAACTTGTTGATAATCGTAAGAAAGCTGCTAAACTAACAAGTCGTCCAAACTTTGATAGGGCTACGATATTTGATAAAAATCTTATCGCTGTTCATATGAAAAAAAACCGAAGTTTATTTTAACAAACCAATATATGTTGGGCAAGCAATTTTAGATTTGTCAAAAACATTAATGTTTGATTTTCATTATAATTATATCAGAAAGAAATAAAAAAATAAAGCCGAATTATTGTTTACAGATACAGACTCATTAATGTACCATATTCACACAGATGATTTTTACAAAGATATATCACGTGACATAAAAAAAAAAAGTTTGACAGGTCTGATTACTCACCCAATCATGAATCTGGAATACTGACAGGAGTTAACAAAAAAGTAATTCGAATGTTTAAAGATGAAGTAGCAGGAAAACAAATAACTTGTTTTGTTGGATTACGACCAAAACTTTATAGTTTTAGAATAGAAGAGGATAAAGAGGTTAGAAAATGTAAAGGAATAAAGAACAATGTTGTGAAAAAGAAATTAGATTTTGATGACTATGGTCAACGTTTATTCACAGGAAGAAAAGAAATGAGAAAAATGAATATAATAAGAAGTGAAAATCATGATATATATTCAAAAGAAGTTAACAAAGTAGCTCTAAGTAATGAAGATGATAAACGTAAAGTTACTTTGGGAGAGGTAAAAACATTAGCTTTAAGATAATAGAATTTAATACAATTTAATAATAAAATGATATATAAAGAAGACCAAATAAAGAATTATCTAGAAATTTTACATAATTATACTAGTAATCCCATTGAGGAATCAAATTTGAAAACCCAATTTAGCGCTAAATGTAGTAATTGTGAAAATAGAGAATCTTTTACTATTGATTACGGTTATAAAATTTGTGAAGAATGTGGAGTAGCAAATGGACATGTATTATGTTTTTATGATAATAAAGATTTTGATAGGTTATTTTATCGAAAAAAGAGCGTATATCAACGTAAGTATTATTATGAAAAAAAGGTTAATAAAATTTATAAAAGTATAAATCTTACCAACAAACAAAAAAATAAACTTTTAATTAAGTTAATGAAAATAGACAATAAAACAACAGAAATATTGAATGATTTATACAATAGGAAGAGAATGATAAGTATCGAATATTTAATCAAAAAACTTTTAGCTGAGATGGGTCGTGAAAACTACAAACTAGTTTATCTTAAGATCTCACCACAAACTTTAGATAATTATGAAAATTGGTGGGATAGTTATAAATCACTCAAAACCGGATAGATTTTAATATTATTTTGATATTAAAATCACTGTTTACTTAGTCCGAATTTTTTACCATACCTACTAACAAATCTATCTGCTATAGGTGTTTGGTCGATTATCATTTCATCTACCAACTTCATGCGATCAACAAACTCTTGTTTATTAAATTCATCTCCCCGAAGAGCTGCTTTGAAGTTCAACAAGTACTTTTTCATAAGTAGTGAATGCAATCCTTGTCATCTCAATTTTTCTCTTATAATTATTTTTCTTTCCAATTCCCGCCACTATAATTCCAGCACCATTTACTACTCCGAGAACAACAGGGTTTAGGGTTATTCCACCAGAAATAGTTCCAATCGCAACCAAGCATATACTAGATATTGTAAAAACATCATCAAGAAATTTATAACTTTTATACGATTTCTTAAAACACCAGTATTTTTTGTGGTAGTGTTTATAAAAGTCTTTGAGGGTTTTAACCTCTGATTCCGACAGAGATTTGTCTATGTGATTAAATTCAAAGATATCCTTCATTTTATTCTTTTGTGTATATTAATTATAGGTGAACCTACGGTTCCCCTATTACCCCTCCCTTGGTTACGTCACATTAATGATAGGTGAACCTATCTAAATTACGTAACTTCCATTTAACTTTTCTTGAAGCATTACTTTATGATATTGCTCAGAGTCATCATCGTAAAAGTTTTGAGAAAACATTATTTTGCATAAAACTCCATCATAAGTTTTAAACGAAAATTTTTGTTCGCGGGTGTAACTAACAATTGGTAAACTTAATATTGCACTATAGTTACTTATTCTAACTTTTGTAATATTTGAGTTAAAATTTTCTGTTAACCATAAAACAATTTTTTTTCCACTAAAATTTTTAGGTAAGGTAAAAGAACTTCTTTGTCTAAGAATAGTTAAATTTATACTTTTATCTGATGGATAATAAATTAAATCTAATAAAGCATTAAGTCTATTTATATCTTTTTTTTTTAATTTCAAAAATTCTATTTTCCCAAAAATAAAAAATAACACATAAAGTATATTTTGTTAAACCAATAGGACGAGAAAAATTAATAGTATAATTGTTTATATTTAGTCCTTCTTTTTTTATATTATCTATGGTTTTATTAGGTATACTAATATCTCTTAAACTATCACCACTACTAGAAGATAAATAGTTAAAAACAATACCAGATGAGGTTCTACTTAATTTGTAATTAGCGGCATTAGTAAAATCATAAACTTCTTCAAAATAATTTCTGTACAAATCATTTATAGTGTGAGGAATTAATTCCTTTACCATTCCAACTGTTGCAGCACTATTGTTACTGTTTCTATCAAGATTGACGTTCAATATTTTTTTATTATTTGCATTAATATCAACATTGTAAACCACTTCTGTTGGTTTGATATTAAATGCGGTGTGATACTCGTAAACTTTATCTGGGTCGATATTGCTAAATGTGCCAACAATTCCATAGGCAATCATGTAAACTCCTAGAAACTGTCTCGGATACACAGCCAGGTCAGTTCCATCTTGTGGTATATTAACCAAAATGTGAAGAAAGAACTTATTACCAGTTGACAACTTCCGGAAATTAACTATTATTCTATGATAATACATAAATTGTGCTTGTCCCTTTGGATCGCTGTACCTATGGGAGAGTTTCCTTACACTAACATTTCCAATTGATAATCCTGTTGAAGTTCCTTTGTCTACACTTATTTGAGACTTATGCCATAATTGGTAATCAGTGTTGAGTATTTCCAAACACAGTGTGAAATAAGCATTTGCAGTTAACCTGTAAAAGTTGATTCCCATTTTATACTTATATCCACCTTGAGAACTTTTGTTTATTCCCATAAAAATAACTTTGTGGTTATAATCATGAAAGTTTCCTTTGTTTGGTGCTAAATCTCCTATACTTTTTATAACAAAACTGGTTCCAGTATCTATTTCATCAGTCCATTGAGACCCACTTGACATGACATAAGCAAACTGGTCATTATAATGACTTGGTTGAACTGCAGTTTTGTGAACTAGTTTGTCGACATAATCTTTAGTTACTGCTTCATTGTCTTGAGTTGGATTACTAAGATTTATTATTTTATTATTACCAACATTAAGGTTGCCAGTCATAGTGACGCTACCATCTTTTTCCAAATAACTAAATAAATTAAGCCCAATCATAAAATCAACATATCCTTTGTTTGTAGCATCTGTAGTTGATGATGGTAGTTTGAGATTAACTATTTTATTGTTATTAAGATTTAACTTTCCGGTCATAACGACAGTACCATCTTTTTTCAAATAATTACTCAAATCTGGTCTACCAGCATTATCATCCACATATTTCTTTGTTGCAGCATCTGTGTTTGATGTTGGAGTTGCGAGACCAACTATTTTTTTGTTTCCAAGATTTAGGTTATTAGTCATTGATATACTTCCATCTTTTTTTTATAAAAGAACTAGTATCAGGTATTGAGTCATCCACATACTTTTTGGTTGTTGCATCTGTGTTTGATGTTGGTGGTCTAAGGTTAATTATTTTTTTATTATCCATGTTTAGATTATTAGTCATTGCAGATGAACCATCACGGGCAACATACTTCAAATCTGTAAAAGCTAATGGTGTTGGTTGATTACCTCCATTTGGAGCTGGTAGATTAAATATTCGATTATTATCCATATTGAGATTACCTTTCATTGGGTAGGAATCATCTCTATCAAGAAATGTGTTGTCTACGTAATCTTTTGTAGGAGGATCTTTCCCATCCAGTGGTGTACTAAGATTTGTAATTCGGTATGTATTCTTCATATCAATGTTTGAATCTACTGTTAGCCTTTTTGTTGAGGTTGATCCACTAGAAGTGTCATCAACATACTTCTTTGTAGCAGCATCGGTATTATTACTAGGTGCTCCAACATTTGTGAGTCTTTTTTTATTAATATCATAATTACCATTTGCGGTTAGACTAAATCCAACTCCTGGAGCACCCTGTATTCCTTTAGCAAAAGGATGATCAAAAGATTGTTCATTAAATATTCCCATTTTTATTATTAGGATAGATTACTAGTAAAGTTTTTAGCAATACGTTTTTTTGGTTTATCAACGTATAGAAATGTGAATGGTTTTCTAGTTGCTGCTCTATATGTTTCTTTATCAACTCCTAATTCGGATGATATTCTGTTTGATTCCCTCGATGATGGAAATTCATACAGACAGTAGTGAGAACAATTTAGCCGAATATCCTTTGGAGTTTTGTAAAATGATTGACTGAGGTAGATTACAGAGCAATTCTTATGTCGTCCTTGAATAAAATAATCAATAAGTTGTCTCTGGTTTTTATCACATACGTAATCATTAAATATTACAAGTTTTTGATTGTCTTCGTAATCCATTTCTGTAACCGGGGTTACTTCATCGTTACTCACATGAAGTATTTCATATCCAATTTTACTACTCAACTCCCTCATTTTTTGAATTAACTTTTGATACTTATCCTGTTCTAGATTACGTGCGTAAAGATAAATCTCATCGTAATGCAACAGTGGTTTGATTAACATATGATATAACAAATTAGTCTTACCACTTCCACTGTTTCCACAAATTAACATTCGAAAAGTGTCTGATGGCATAAAGGGTAATAGCTGTTTATATTTTTTATCAAGGTCATCGTTACTATCATAGTTTGGAATTTCCATTTATCTAAACATTAAATAATTTTGTAGTAAGCAGGGGATGCAATCCCCCATTTTGTAGCAAGCAGGGGGGTTTTGGGGGGATGCAATCCCCCCATTTTATTTAATTAATAGATAAAATGGATATAGAAGAAGCTAAAAATTTTGCAAGAAATAAAATAGAAGCCGATGATTTGATTCGACAGGTTAGAGATGTTATAAAAACAACAAAATGGCAAAAACAAGATATGAGAGAGGGATTTAAAGAGACATTTAAACCACTTATTAAATCTCAAGATAGCATTAAAAAAAGTATCGATGAGCAGCAAAACGCAACTATAGCACAACTTAAAGCTAATCAACTTGCTCTTACACAAGGACTTAATCAAAACAGGAAGGCTATAACTGAAGGATTTGATAAACTTGACGAAGTAAAAAAAATTAGATTTGGCTCAATTACCTGGTTTTGAGGCGATTGAAGAGCCTAAAGATGATGGAGTTTTACCCTCTACATCAGAGGAAGGACCAAAAATAGCAAAATTTACACCTGAAGACCTCAATAGAAATTTAATGAACAAAGAAGTACAAGATATACTCAAAGTTAATGAATACCACAAACTCCCTTCTGAGTATTTTGAAGAGGATGTTCTACCATTGATAAAGTAATCGAAGATGTTAACGAAGATTTAGAAGAGATAAGTAAAGCAATAAAAAATACTGCAATTATTAAACATGAAAAAACGGTTATGTTTTAGCTAAACCAATAAATAAAAATCCACGTGAAAACACAATAAATTTTATAAATAAATATAACATATTAAGCATATATGTAAAAAATTTAAGTAATCTTAGGGATTACAAAGAAAAATCTGGCTCTGGAATGATTTATTTTAACAACCCACATCAACTTCTAGATAGACTTGAATTACTTGGTGGATCAATTCTAGCTGGGAATAATGGTGTGATAAATGAGTTTTCTCAAATCGCACATCTTCTCAACCAAATGAAAGTAATCTCAAAAAAACAACTGAAAGATTTACTAAAAAGTTATATGCCAATAAAATAAATGGAAGAACGAGCTATTCACATTTCTTCGATAAACAGAGAAAAAAGAGGAACAAGCAGACCTGGTGATTTTACTATCAAATTTAACCCATCTTTGAAACTTGACCCTGAAAAGAGTCATAAACGTGCTCTTGATCGGTTGTCCATGACTTATTCTTGGTACAACATTAGAAGTGATTATGGAAACAATAAAATTAAATACACTCATGATGGAACCAACTGGCAAACAATTACTTTTACAGATGGAATGTATTCCTACTCAGATATCAATGATTACATTCATCAATATATGTCTCAAAAGTCTCATCACTCAACAGATTCAAGTGGAAAAAAGACTTATTCAATCAATCTAACTTTTATACTATCTACCTATAGAGTGTTAGTATCACTTGAAGGTGATTATCAACTTGATCTGAGAGGAACAGAATTTGGAGACCTGATTGGATTTGAAAAGAAACTTATTACAAAAACAGAGTATGGATCAAAACTACCAAATATCACAAATTCGATTGATGTGTTAAATATCAACACAACCGCAATAACTAATAGCATTGTAAATGGATTAAATACAAATAATCTTGCTGTGATACCAACCGATAATCTTACAAGGTCTTATCCATTTACTTTCGAACCTAAAAGAACATTGTATTGTCCTTTATCAGCGTTTAACATTGATGAAATGAGAATCTATGTTACAGACTCACTTGGAAGACCTGTAAATTTTAATGGTATTGATTGGTTTATGACTTTGATACTTCACTCGATGTAAGCGTGGGAACCTACGGTTCCCCCTGCTCCCCCCTCCCTTGGATAAGATAATAATCATTTTGTATAACTATTAAAATAAAATGATGCGACAATCAGAGTTTAAAAAGAAACTTGACCCTGAATTGGGTAGATATACAAGACAACATATTTATGAAGAAGGAATAACAGATGTGCTTAAATCTGTTGGATCAAAAATATTTGGAAAGACAATGAAAAAAACAGTCAAATCAGCCGCTAAAAAAGGCGTTGAAAAAGCACTAACATCAGCCGCAACAAAAACCGGTGAACATGTTGGCAAAAAGGCCGGTGATAAAATAGTGCAAATGTTATCAAAAGGGAGGGTTGAACCCCCCAGAAACCCCCCTTCTAAAAAAGTTACTTTTAAAACAACTCCAAACGGGTGGTACCCCCGAAACCCCCGTGCAAAAAAAATGACTCAACAAGAAATAAATCAAAGAGTGAATTCTATTCTTAGTGGTGGAAAAATTATATAATTATTAAAATAAAATGAAGTCCTTTAAAAATCCAGAATATTTAGAAAGATATGAAGATGTTGTTTTTGACCTTGAACAGGCTTTAGCAACACCTGGAAATGGTGCTCACCAAACTAAAACAGGTCATAGATTTGTTGCTGATAATACAGGTGAGGCTACTCCATTTGATTGGTATAACGCGCGATTATCAGTAGATTTAAAAGTTAATCAGCTTGCTGCTGGAGCTAATATAGATGCAGATGGACACCAAATGGGAATAGTAAATGGTAGTTCCAGTCTCATAGAAAAGTTAACAATACTTGCAAATGGTAGAGATGTTTATAGTTGCAACTATGCTAATCATGTAGTAAATATTAAAAATTTACTTGAGTATAATCCTTCCTATGTTGATAGTGTAGCTACAAATGAATTTTACTATCTTGATACAACAAGACACGCTGAAAGAATAGAATTTACTATAAATAACACAAGCGTCACTGGAGGAGCAAATGTTGTTAAGGGGCGAGTTGCTAATTATAACAAAGGTTTTTCAATAAGAAAAGCATTACTAGGCGACTCAGCAACAGTGCGATGTGAAATTCCCCTCAACAGATATCCTTTCTTTGAGGCATTAGAAAACAAACTTCTTCCAAATACAAAAATTGAATTAAATATTGAAATAGAATCAGATGGTAATCTTATCTGGCAAGCTGGTGGAAATGAATGTAGAGTTATACTAACAAGATTTCAACTATTTGTTCCAAGAATAACATTTAACTCAAAAGGACAAGAAATATACCTGAAAAATTATCTCAAACCCTACAAATGGGTTTACCTAAATGAAATAGTAGAGCGATCAAATAACTCTCAACAGCAAACAGGTCATTTCAGAATTACAAATGCTATATCAAAACCTCGCCATGTCTTTGTTTTTGCGATTAACACAGCTAATATTAGTTCTCAAACAGCAAATCCATTCCTTTACAACACTTTTAATTTACCAAACAATGCTAATATATCTCGATGTTATCTTGAGGTTGGAAATGGAAATGAATACCCTGATATTCACTTTAAACCAGCTACAGATCCAGCAAGAGTTTTTAGAAATGTAATGTCATACGTATATGCAAATAATGACTTTCAAGGTGGAACATTACTTAATAGAAGTAATTTTGAAAATTTATTTCCTTTTGTTTATTTTGATCTTACAAAACAAAAAATGGATATCAAAGACGGGGTTACAAAACTTGCATTTCATTATGAGTTATCTGCTAATCCAAATGCCGATTATAATATTTACGCTCTTGTACTTCATGAGCGAGAGGCAGAAATAGAACAGCAAGGAGGAAAACTATTGCTTAGAGCTTAAATCTAAATTTTATACGATATCTTATGATTACACAGAATTTTATACAAGTTGTTATGATTACACAACATTTTCTACAAGTTGTTATGATTACACAACATTTTCTACAGCTTGAAGAAAATGTTGTGTAATCATTTGATTGGTTGAAAAAATCACACGATAATCTCGTGATATAAAACAATAACCTTCTAGAAGGTACTAATGAGATTATAATTAGATTTTTAAAATAAAATCTAATTATATCACACCTAGAACATTCAAACTAATTAAAAAACTTAACCTCCAACCGAGAGAAAAAAAATACAATTAACCCAAACCAAAGAAGAAAAGATTAAGTGATGAGATTGAATTTAATATAAATATTATAATAAAAAATGACTACTTATATAGAATACGGAGTAACACTTACAGATGGACAAAAGTCAAAACTGGCTTCTGCGATAATAAATCAATCACCACTAACTCTTGGATTAAAACATTCTCATCTTCAAGGTTCTGATGAGTTAATGTTGACAAAAAGACAAATTAATAAAATAAAAAAATCACTGGCAAATGGAACAGGATCAGATATAAAGATAAGTAAAACACAGATTAGACGTTCTGTAAAACATGGTGGAAACTTATTTTCATCACTCGCATCTCTCAGAGCAAAAGTTCTTCCTTACGCAATAAAAGGAATTTCAAAAGCTGTTCCTGCATTAGTAACTGGTGCTGCTACTGCACTCGGAGAAATTGGATTAAATAAAATATTTGGGAAAGGAATCACAATTCCCCCACAGTTTTTCCCAATGCTACCACCTCTTGTAAGAGAATTTACCAAATCACAAATAAACCAAATTAACAAAGCTTATCAAACAGGTGGTCAATTAGTTATAAAACCAACTCGTAAATAGATAGAAGGAGGATTTCTTGGAACTCTTGCATTTATTGGTATTCCAATGGCAATTAGTTTAGTATCTAAGATGTTTGGTGGGGGGCTTCAAGTTGATAGACGTGGGTCATCTAATACAGCAAATGTTTACGTTCCACCCACAGATGGAGGAGGTTATCCTTATCGCTCACCACCCTTTATTGGTACATGGGAAAACCCAATAGGAACGGGAGTTAAAAAAAAAAGTCCAAAGGGTCTACTATTAGGAAAAAACAGCCCATTCAACTCAATTCCCATTCTCGGCACCATTTTGTAATTAAACCTCTATCTAACTATGACCTCATGGAATGGGTAAAAAGACTTGGTGTTAAACATTTCAGAGGAATATATAGTCGTGATGGTCTACCAAAAAAAATCAAAAAAGAATGTGGAATAATCAATCTAGATGATATAACAGGGCCTGGAACACACTGGGTTTGTTATAGAAATATAGATTCGGTAGTCGAATATTTCGATCCTTTTGGTTTGATAATGCCAAATGAAGCATTAGAGTATTTTAATACTTCTGGAAAACGTATTGTTTACTCGATAGATGAAATACAAAATCGCAGTACTGTTCTCTGTGGTTATTGGTGTTTATATTATTTATTCGAGCGACAACAAGGTAAAAGTATTCTAGATGTAATACATAACCCTCATTTTGATAATGACAACAGCGATTTTATAAAGTCATACTTTGGAGGATATATTTTTTAAATCTTCCTCTTCATCATCATCCGGAGCATTTTTTAGTGATTTAATTCTTTCAACTTTTGTATTCAAATCTTTAACAATATCAACTATATCATCAAAATTTGAATAAATGTCAATAAGACGATAAAGTTTCTTCTTTTTATCACTATTTATTTTCAACCAAGAATACTCCCCATTTCTGATTTTTTCCCACATCTCACATTCACCAGCCATTAGCACTCTAGAAAGATCGTCGTTTTTCTTTCTAAGAGAATCAAACTCATTATTTATTTTTGTTCTTAATTCTTTCTCAAAATCCTTGAGTGTTTTCACATCCATCTTTTTTTCTATTTCAGAAAAGAATTTTGCTTCCATTTATTATATGAATAGATAGTTTCCTTTTACCACTTTGTTAAGCGTATTTGATTTCTCACTTATTTCCATAAGCAACTCAAATACTTTTATAAATTTAGTATCGTTTTCCAGTCTAGAAAAATCAGCGTATTCATAACTCATGTTTAGGTTGTTGTATATCTTTTGAAGTTCAGTTTTAAGAAAATTAGATCTAGTAGACATATTTTTTATCTAAACATTATATTAAATGAAAGAAACTTATTGCATTGTAGATAAAAGAGTAACTCCTTGCACAGAGCCAAGTGTTTACCAAACTGATAAAAGAGGTAGAACTCAATTCTTTTGTAGATGCGCAAGGTTGGGGAAATAAAAAAGTTAGATATGTAAAAATGGGGGAAACCCTGCAAACTGGAAGTGGAAAAAAAAGTCAAAAAACTAATCAGCCCGTCTGAAGGGGCGGGCGTCTTTGATACTGTTGTTGGTACAGCAGTTGATGGATTTGTTCATTATGGTTTACCTTGGATGGGTAAGAAAGCAGTAGAAATGGGGCGATATGGGGCAAGTGAATTAATGAGAAATAAAAATCTTCAGAAGAAAGCTGTAGATTATGGGATTAATAAACTCACCCCATTTATTCAAGATTCTGTTGGAACAGCAATGGATGAACTATCAACAAAAATTAGACATGGGGGGAGTGCCTCCCCCCATTCTAGTATAAAAATGACTCCTGTTGAAGCAAGTAAAAATAAAAATAAAAATAAAGTTTGGTCTAATTTGTACGGTGATTCTATTTACTTGAAACCTGGTAAATCGAAGTTTGCAATTGGTGATCGTGTTAGAATTTCTAAGTATAAGAGGAAGGTATTTGATAAAGGCTACACACCAAACTGGACAGAAGAAATATTCGTTATCGATAAAGTTTTACCTACAAATCCTGTTACGTATAGAATTGTTGATCTGATGGGGGAAGAAATTAAGGGTTCTTTCTACAACCAAGAATTACAAAAAACAAAACAACAAACATTTAGAATAGAAAAGATTATCAGACGAGATAATAAGAAAAAAATGGCATTAGTAAAATGGAGTGGATATCCTGATAAATTTAACTCATGGGTTAGTTCTAAGGATTTGGTTGATTTTTAATACGAAATTCGTATTAAAAATAGTTATTTACTCGTTTTCTTCATCAGAGATAACTAAGTCTTCGACTACTTGATCAGTTATCTCTTTAATATCGCTTTGATCTTCATCTTCCTCTTCAATTGTTAGTAAAGACTCTCTAGGTTTGAGTGGTTTAACATAGCACTCATGTACTTTTATTTGTAAAGATGTTACAGTTTTACTTATGAAAATTCCTTCAATTATCAATGCCAATTTAACATTACAATACTGATCAATATATTTAAAAGGATTTAAATCTTTACCTCCCTTTCCCTTCAACAAAGATAAAATTTTCTTTGATTTTTCAGAGTAAATAAGTTTTGCATAAAAAACTGGTGCAGATGAGGGATCGATTCTTGTTTTCTTCTTTCCTTTTTTATCAGTATATTCTTCCTGTTTGTGATATAATGGTGAAGTAAGAGTCGAAGCTAAATCTGGACCATATTCATTCTCTAAATGTTGTTGAGATAGAGTTGTTACGTTATTAACCCATTCGCCCTTGAACCGCCTGTAACCGCCCGTGCGGATCCAGGTCCTTTCTACCCTTTGTGACGTCATCAGTTTTAACGGTCAAGGACAACTTTCTTCGCTAACTTGTGCAGAGTGAAGAGATCTTTCAAACCATACCAGAATCAGCACAATTCAGTCAAGGACACCGGAGAAAGAAGCAAAAAACCACGTGACAAGGACCTGAAAATCTCCATGAAAATCTTGTTCCATTACCCACCTACCTTTCCTTTCACCTAATCCTAAGATCCTAAAAGCTTTCCTAAAAACTCTTCCCACCAAAATGAAGCCTACTAAATGCCCAGCAAGAGAAAAAAAAAATGAGGCAAGAAAAGCGAAAAAAGAAGGGAGGAGAGAAATTTTGCTTTCTGCGCATGCCCGAACTTCGCAAGCTGATATTTTGCATCTGGATCAGAAGGCCGCCAAGTGTACGACCTGTAAACCGGTTTGTGGTAAGTTTTAGCTCTTTATAGCACGACAGTGACCAGAAAACCACTCGACTAGCTTCAAAACGCGTTTTTCGGCAAAATCTCCAGGAGCGAATGGGTTAATAACATCCCAAAATTCTTTTTCTTTATTATTCGGTACGCTATCTTTAGCCCAAAGACATACTGGAATACTATAACCTACTAACTTTTTTGTTTCTTGATTTTTCTTTTCACTAACACCAAAGCTAAAAAGAAATGGGGTTTCGATTACAAGCGGTCCTTTCTTTCCATTCGAATATTTAATTTCAATTGGGATACGCTTGTATTTAATCTTACTATCTTTGACTTTAAATTCTTTGGCTTCTTTAAAGATAATATTGTCTTTGGTAAGATTTTCGTAACTTGTTAACATCATTTTTGATTATAATTATTTAATCTTTAAATATTTTTTATTCTAAAAATTCAAATGTGTATCTATCCCCATCTTTTTTGGAAATCACTGTTTTATAATATTTTACTTTTCTACAAATATTAGAAATAATTGAAAAGGAAATATCTAATTCGAGTGAAGCAGAAGTAATACTTTCATATTTTTTTTGTTTGTTATTTTTGATATTAAATGATTTGATTGGTTTTCTACGACCTTTTTGAGCATTTTCTTTAAAAGTTAGCAATTGTAAATTTTCTATTTTATTATTTGTTTTAACAGAATCATAATGGTCAATTACAAATCCTTCTGGAATAACACCTTTAACACATTCCCATTCAAACCTGTGTATATGTAATTCTTTGGTTTAATCAATTTTTTATCATTGACTTTAAACTGATAGTATCCCTTATCAGTCAAATTTTTTTTTAAAATTCTTCCAGTTTTTACATTTAAAATTTCACCTTGTTTTGAAGCGGCATAATTGACAAAAATAGGATGAATATAGAATTTCTTTCCACCAATTGTAACTTTTTTCCGCGACATTTTATTTAAAAAATCTTTGAATTCTTAAGCCCTTTTTCAATTGTGACTTCTATAGAATATAATCTTCCTGAAATTTCTTTTAATCCTTCTTCTAAAACTTTTATAAGTTCTTTTTTAAAATTATTATCATCATTAACATAATATTTACCAGCTAAATTAATATCATTAGATGAACTAGTTAAACCATCATTACCATTTGAACTCATTTTATTACAATTTTTTTTATTCTCTTAAATCATTTTTAGACCAAAGTAAATTAACGGACCAGAAGTTCGCTGATTCAGGATTATTATGAGTTAATTCTCCTTGTTTATTCTTAATCTTTGTAGCTCTAGCAATATATTTCTCTCTTCTTTTTTTGTCTTTGTGAGTAAGATAATCCTCATATTTCATTGACCCAAAATGAACTTTTTTTCCACTTTTAAGAGTAACCATGTATTTGTTATTTTTTCTTGTTGAATAATCAAGCGATTCAGCACCGAGTTTTTTAGCATTTCTAATAAGTTTTTTAAACTCTTTTCCAATAACAAGATATTTTTTCTCTTTTGGAATAAAATCTGGATCAACATCTTGTCTATAACCATCATCAACTATAAAATCTAAATCCTCTTTGGTAGGAGTAGTCTCTCTTGATATATTTTCCATTTTATTTAATTGTTTATACAATTATTATATTAAAGTATTTAATCTTATAACAAAAAAATGTTATAAGATTTTAAAAATATTAATCACTAACACCATCACTGTAACAATATCTAAATTGGAATCTATCACAATCTTCATTATAATCATAAAATCTATCATTGGTTTCATATTTTATTTTAAACTTACTAGTAAATAATTCAAAATAATCATAAATATTTTCAAAACCTGGATATGGATTAATAAAATTTTGATCATCCTTTTTATAATTAATAAATCTATTAAAATCATAAAAAATTTTTTAATCTTAATTAAATTTTTAATATCACTAGATCTAATCTCAAAATTACTTAAATCTTTAAAATAACCTGAATTTTGATATAATAAAAATTTATTGAAAAATTTTTATATCTTATCAACTCGAAAATTTTCGAATAAACCATTAGTTGCTTCGTTTATGTTATCAAGAAAATACTTAAATTCATTATTAATTCCTATAATAAAAAGGTATTCATTACTAAAATCCTTGCGTAATCTGGGATATTCTTGATAAACATAGTGTTTTATTTTTATATTAAATTCTTTAAATCATTTTTATTTTCTAATTCAAAATCAAAAAAATGTTGAAAATTCAATAACAGAAAATAGACTAAAAAAGTAAATGACAGAAGACAGAATTTAATCAAAGAATGATAGAAAATAAACTCTAAAATTATCAAAAAAATTTCAATAACAGAAAATAGACTAAAAAAAGTCAATGATAGAAGACAGAATTTAATCAAAGAATGATAGAAAATAAACACTGAAATTAGTAAAAATTAGTACAAAAATTTTTAGTCTAAATTCCGTCATTTATTTTTGGAGATAAATGAGGGAAATAATTGAAAAATGACGGGGAAAAGTACAGAGTGAGTGAGCAGTAAAGAATCATTATCTATACTACTCGAGGAAAGGTTATTGGTGTCGATCCTGATAAGGAACGAATTCGAGTGGCTAACGAATCTCACACTCAAATCGAGAATCTGTCATTTACAGAGGGGAGCGCTCCAAGCTTTTTCAGAATGGGTTCAAATTTATACGACATTGTTTTCTGCAATTCTGCTCTCCACTGGATGCCTGAAAAAGAGCAAGTCTTCAATGGCAAAAATGTTGGCACGCGATGACCGAACGGCCGCGGTCGTCGCTTTTTCTTAGCGACAAGTAAAACTTTTGAAGGCGTTTGTTTAGCTCTTGCGGGGAAGTTTCTTCAAAAGGAGTTGTGTATTCTGTTTGTATTTAAAATAATTCTGTAAAAAAGATTATTAAATTTAGTTTTAAGCTTATTTATGAACAAGTCAACTAAATAAAGTAACGCAAGACTTAAGCTTAATTTGCATTTGTAAACAAAAAACTTTTTCACCGGTCTTATCGATAACTATTCAAGTCAAAAAAAACAAAGCTTTACCTGTTAAAACTTCCAAACCGAACTTCGTCACCTTCTTCATGTATTTTGGAAAATAGCTTGCTTGATTAGTTGTGAAATTTCTTAGTTTGTTACAGCAGCAAACCGGGAAAGCATTTTGCTCGCAACCTGCGCCAGTTTGGCGTCGCTCGCTCGGAGGAACTGGAGGTGAATCAGTGAATAGTGCAGGATATTCACTGACTGAGTAGCCAATCAGAGCGCGCGAAAAACACTAACCACTGTTTTAGTATATACTAAATAGATTTAGCCACGGCGAAAAGCGAAGCCCCCATTGAAAAGTTAAGTGATTTTGGAGTACCAACAAAACTAGGTTCGACAGCTACAGTCGTTAGGAAGAGTGTATTTTTTATCATATCCCATATTACCGTTCGGGGTTGTCGCGTGCACATTTTTTCCGACAACCTTTCTCGAAATAGCTGTATTCTGATGTAACAACCTAAGGCCACGATGATTTACAGCTTCAGATAATTCTGCAAAACCATGTATCGCTGTTTTGATTAGATCTTCATGTGGCATGGGAGCGTTGTTGAAACACATGTCGCATTTTGAAGAGTATTCAAGTTCTGCACATAAACATTTAAGATGATACGGCTGAGTGCATCCGGCGCAAGGTTCTTTCTGATGGTTTTACTGCATTTGAAGCACTTCAAAGTCGCAGGCCCAGGGTTCTGTAATACATCCCCACAGAGGAGTACTAAGTTCATAAAAAGCACATCCTTAGCTAGATGAAGTAACTGAGTATTACAACAAGACGAACTGTTCGTCTTGTAACTCGAGCGCTTGGTCCAAAGATGGATCGAAACAAGAATTGAGTCAAATGAAACAGAATTCACGAGGTGTAGTTGGGAAACATTCGAAGACACAGAACCAGAATGATTGTTATCCCTCCTTAAGATGAAACTCGCAAGAATATTTGCCAGAAATAGATACAGAGTCGACTTTTGTCCAAGCCCACGAAACACGTCCGCCATGTTAGGAAACCAGGACGTTTATCGTACTGTTTACATTTCCTTAATTTTAGTATAAACAGGAAAGATGCAAACCACGCTCTCACTTGTCAGCCGGAATAAATACTTTAAAACCCTTTTAGAGCTTAAAGGCTCTAAATCGATCGACGAATACTATTAATTTTCCTGATGGGGTTCATTCCAACTCGAAAACTGCAATGATTAGCTTACAGTACCGTACATCCACGTTTAGTGGGCATAATTGACAAAATCCAAAAAAACCATCTTTTGTGAACGAAATTTGTGACATGCTCGTGAAAAGATGCATTTGATTCAATCAAAACCAAAACGATTCAAGTACTTATAGCTACGATTTTGTTGGTCATTGGAGGTTAATGTGCGGTACCCTGGTAGCCGTTCGCGTTGTGGACGTTTGTAGATTTCGCATGCCATAACTGATCTAGCAGATCAGACGTCCTCTCTCGAGTAAACGTCTCTTATCTAAACGCGCCCTCTCTACATTTTAATTTTGAGTTTATACCCCTCTCTACTTAGCGGGAATATGTCAAAGGATATTGCTATATTTCTGTGCTCAACTCCTCACTGGATGTCGATGATGACCTTGAGTCATATTTCATTAACTTTCAATAAACACTGAAAATCAAACGTTCGATAGTGTTCGATTTACAAGTCAAGAGTGCTTTCTTTGATTTTGATCTTGTGTTCGGCTGCTGTAACGAAACGAACAAAAAGAAAAGTTCGAATGACCATCAAACGTTCAGTTAACATCACCAGGCATATTCCATTTGATACACTGACCAACATTATATAAGTATGGAGATGCAGTAGAGTAAACAGGAACTTAACCCAAGCGATAAGTTAAGTGACGTGCAGAAACTTTATAAGCATATTTACCTTCGGTAGATTTAAAAGCTTCTAAGCAATTTGAAATGTAGTTAAACGTATTTTGCAATCGGCCATAGTAAACTAATCTTTACTTAGTTACAAAAGTGCAACCCTTTATTTCACACAATCCGAGTTATTTTTCGATTCCTAGAAAAATCAAGCGCAATCACGAGCCGCTAAGAAATCCTGTTTCAGTTGATTAAACGGAATATGAGGAGAACTATAGACACAAAATACTAAGGGCTGTTAACTCACCAGTGACTTTGTAGATTCGGCCTAAAGGTTCATGCAGTCGGATCAATGCAAGATTCACAAATGAAATGAACTTCAGATTCACTCGGTGTGCTGCGTGGTCAAGTTATGACGTGTTATCTCGATCATTGGCTTTGTGACCCAACCTCGTCCCCAGAGGTCCCTTTTGTCATGCGCTGGAAAAATCGGGACCCCTGGCCAATCGGGTCTCAGGGCCAATTCCTATTGGCTGTTGAAAGACAAAAGCGTAACAACCGGAAGTCCACAGAACCCACAACATGGCAGAACCTCCCAAAACACCGACTAAAGCAGCAACCCGGGTTTGTCGAACCTGCAACGAAAACATAGTTGTGAAGAATCATCCTTTAGATTTATTTGGTGCAAAGGCATCACAAGAAAACATTCCTTCGGTTCTGGAAAGGTTCTTTGAGTTAAAAGTTGCGTTAAACGATGGTCTCCCGTCATATATCTGTAGATGCTGTTACCATAAAGTGGTGAAGTTCCAGGAATTTTTTAGAAAAATAGCGTTTTCGAAGCAACAACAAGAGTCAGTTTTACAAGTCAAAAGAGGGAAAACAACGGCAGAGAGTCCATCGCTAAGATCCCCGCAAACGAGACGTGACCTAAAGAAGAGCAGAACTTACGAAGACGCACCTGCTACAGAGCCCCATAACAGATCGCTTTTTCAGATGCACATGGACAAACCTTCGAAAACTCGACCACGGCCAATACTTCCTGCACCTTCATTAGATCGCGACGCGAAAAAACGAAAACCTGCAAAGAGAGTTAAATCCTCAACAGAGCCCTCAACGCTATCAAAACAAGAAGAAATCCTCTCTGAGTCTGGTTTGCTGAACCCATTGGTATTATATTATAATTGCTTTATAAATACAGATAAGTATCTCTTTGACAGCTAATGTAAGACACTTAGCATGACACAAGCTTGATTAAAAATTAGGGTATATTATTCTGTAGTCTCGTACAGAGATCAGGATGCAATTTCTCCTCACCTTGCATGTATTAGTATCATGTATCACGTATCATGCATGTGAGAAAAAAATTATATACGGTATATATACCATGGCAAATATTGCTTCTCAGAGAAGCAATATTTGCCATGGTATATATACCGTATATAATTTTTTTCTCACATGCATGATACGTGATACATGATACTAATACATGCAAGGTGAGGAGAAATTGCATCCTGATCTCTGTACGAGACTACAGAATAATATACCCTAATTTTTAATCAAGCTTGTGTCATGCTAAGTGTCTTACATTAGCTGTCAAAGAGATACTTATCTGTATTTATAAAGCAATTATAATATAGATTATTAGCTTGAATTATAATAAATAATATAAAAAAATGCTTGTTGGGTTGTATTTAAATGTTTTTTTTTCTCTCTTGTATAATCTAATTGCATAATGGTTGAGTTGTTGAGTTTCAGATGACCTTAATTTAGAGACCATCCTGTTGTGTTTGAAGTAAACATTCAAGCCAAAAATGTAAGTAACCAGTAAGCTCTACTTTTCTTTTATAATCAAGTAGAAAGTGGTATCAAATTATGTGTAATACACTCCTTATAGATAAAGACAATAAACAGTTACTGAATGTCTGTAATTTTATGGAACTCAATCTTGACTGCCCTTCACCCAAAAAGAAACTAACTAAATAAATAAATCATAAAATTAATAGAGAAATTAACTTTAATATATTTTTCTTTCTGGCTTTTTAAAATTTATATTAGCTCAAAGATGAGCCACTTTTGGAGGAAGGAACCAAAACTGTTGACACGTTGGCCACACTGATGTTGACTGGATGCACAACCCATCAGATTGCTGAGATAATCATGCAATGCCGACCTTTAAGAAATGCAGTTAAGTGTTTGTTCTTGAACGATGTGAATGAACAGTGTCAGAAAATTTGCAACAGGAGTGCTGAGAATTCATCTGTACTTCGTACTCCACCTTCCAAGCATAAGGTAATTACAGGGGTAATTACTAACAACCTTATGGTTAAGGCTAGTGTAGAAAGTAAAATGCACTCAGGTATTGTAATTTTTTTATAACCAATAAAATTTAAAATTCACTTGAAATTGGAATTTAATCAAAATATTCTTTTGGAACCCTAAATAAAAAATAAATAAATTATGATGCATTTTTTAATTAAGGGAAATAACATGATAACATACAAATATATAATTCTATGTTCTAGAAAAAACTGACTGTTAATCTAATTCAAATTGATTTCTAAATAGGAGTTGAAGAATTTCTCCTGGGAAAAGGTTATCACAGAAATGAAGGAGCGTGTCCCTGATGTACTGGATGTCCTAGCTGTTGTAGCAATTCCAAATGTCACAGCTCATGAAGACAGTGCAAAGCAGATTGCCCCACTTTGTACTGCATATGGCATAAATAGAGAATACTTCATGGAAAGTGCTGGCGTACGGTATTTACGCACGAGTTGTTGACGTATCAGAAATCGAACGAGTGAGCGCAGCGAACGAGTAAGATTTCTGATACAAAAACAACGAGTGCGTAAATACCGTACAAAGCACTTTCCATGTGGTATTGTGTTTATTATATACATACTGAGTCATTCATCATTTTGCGGGCCTTTTTATTTTAAATCTTTCAAAAATGCTAAAATTTGCCGCTACACACTTACCGCAAAATGACAACGAAAACGAAGTATCAGCTTTTTAGTAAAAACGTTTGTTAAAAACATAAATGACGGTGAGGATATGAGGTTTAATCCAAGAACTATAAGTAATCTTAACTGTTTGTTCTCAATGCACAATTGAAAATGAGTGAATTTAAGTAAAATGGCCGGTTTCAATATAAGCTTAAGCTTAAATGAAAGGCAAAGTAGCTCCGACAAAAAGCACAACAAAAGCTTACGTCTCGTTCTGTTTATCCCTTTCCGCTGTTGTTTCGCCGGCTCTCTACCGTATTTTTTTATCGACAGTGAAACAAACGAAACTATTCCACCCATTTCCGAAATGTTTTTCACTTTTTAGCGAGAAAAACTCCTTGAGTAAAACTTTTCTCGTTGATAAATGTGTGCGAAGCGGCGCTGCAAGCTGCAATAAAAGGCGGGAATTTTGGCGCGAAACTCGCACACCTCTGTGGCTTCTGATTGGACGTATCATTTTTCTCACACGTGAAAAAACATCGTTCGCGATTCTGATTGGACGTATCGTTTTTTTCACGTGTGAAAACCATCGTTCGCTCCTCTGATTGGCTATAACTAATTTGCGTACGAAAATTTACGACATAGCTTTTTGGTGAGTATTTCTCAGTATGTATATAATAATAATGTTTACCCGGTGGAAAGAACTAAGCTTGATACAGAAGATGAACAGTATATTGCTCAGTACTGGTGATGCCACTGAAAGGGTATTTAATGTATCACAATTAACTCCGCTTTCATGTGCATTATTGCAGCCATACCGGGGCTTTAAGGAGCATTATAGTTTATTTTTGATTGGTTAAATTTTATCTGTAGTGAATCTTGCCAAAGACAAATGCAGATCTGGTAATTTGTATTTTAATATTCTGCAGACAACGAAGAGGCTTAACAGAGCAGGTGTAACAATGACCAGGGAAACCTACAGGGGCATCATGGATGACATTGGGTCTGACTTAACAGGTAAATGAACATATTAAATATGTTAAATAATAATAATTAACCCTCTTGAATTTACATGTTACTAGTTTTTCATTATTTACTATATGCTAGTAAGTCAGTCTTAAATTTGAAAATAAAGTAAACAATTTGAATACATGTTTTACTTTAGAAACTCTGGAACAATTCAAAAAAAAATCTGTAATTAAAATGTATTGTGTGTTAAAAAGGAGAGAATCTGTCAAGTGGCAAGGATCAGTCCTTAAAGAAAAGTTAATAATGAAACTTATTTTCTTCCTTTTTAATATTTCAATCTAGGTCTATACAATTATGCATAGAACTTCATAAGCTGTCTAAAAGAAGTTTAATTAAAACGCTTTGTTCTTCATTTTTTAAATTAACAGTCACTATAAGAAGGCATGTGTCAGCTGGATGTGTACCCAGGTTATTCTTTGATAATCTGGACTTCAAGGTATTGGTTAACATCATACTGCAGAATCACCGCCACTCAGATATGCATTGGATTGCTCATTATGTAACATTCGACAGAGTACCCTGTGATCACCTTGATGATTCCAAACCTATATCTGATGGCACACGATTTGAGAATATTGAGTACCTTCTGTGTCAAAGTGAACTTGAGAAGTTGCGAAGCGATTTCATCGTCTTAGTGGCCCGTATTCTTGCTGAATTCTTTGAATTCATGGAGCCTCTCAAATCTGCCATACCAAAGCATATCCAACACAGGTAGGATAACTATAATTAATTATGATATGCTATACATGTATTTAGTTTAAAAAAAGCCAAACTAGCCCAAAAAGGTTATACAATCCCACACTGGTCTGCCGTCTTACTCTTGGCCATAGACATCGTTGATTTCCCTTTGTTCCTCAAGCATAAAAAGGAAATGGTCAAGACAATGCCTTGCAGTTTTAATATAAATAGATTTAGCCAGGGCTAAAAGCGAAGCTCTAGTTAATAATACTTGACGTAAACAAAAAAAATTAAATCATGTAATGCTAAATGGGGAGGGCAATGAAAATGGCATCAAGATCAATAGGTCTAATTAGCAAAGAAACAAATTGCATGTGCAGCACACTTTTTTTTTTCTTTCTTTGCCGCTGTTTTGCACAACTACAATGCTGTTTTGTAGGACTAAAACGTCAAACTTCCTAGTTACACATTATTTTTATGGAGAAATTGTCATATAATATGTGCTTACCCAATATTTTGTCTCCTGTGTTCATGCATGATTGCTTTAATTTATTTTTCACTGCCACTCATTTTCACCTTGCTGGCTGCTAGCATTTCTCATTCTCACAACCACTTTGAATTTTCATGTTTTCCTTCCTACAAAATTTGTCTCTTTTGTTTTCAATCACTCGCTGTAGCTCTTTCTCTGTTATCCACATGAGTGTAAACATCAAAAATAACGTCGAAAAAGACACCACTTTTTGTTGTTGTTTTTTCTTTCTAAAAGTCCGGGCAGTCATGCGATTCTTTCCAAATAAAACCTTGAGATGCATTTGAGTTGCCATACCTGTTGATTGAATTATTTTAAATTGACATACCTGTGGTGCGGACGGATTGTGGGTCGGTCACGATCAGTCGGTGTACGGTCGTGTTTTTTTGAATGGGTAGTTTACCACATTTTTTTACCCATGGTGTTCCGCTGCGCGCGCTTCACGCATGCGAGAGCTCCGATATCAAGTTTCTTGGTACGTAGACTATACTTAATTTGCTCCTTTAATGATGGTATACAAGAGTTTGTCATGTGCTAGGTGTGGTCTATTTGTTATTTATTTGAGATCAGATGATGATATTTAACTTAAATTAAAAGAGCTTTGGTATATTGTGTTCAGGTACTCTGAATTCATGAACAAAAAGTCTGTCATTATTGGACTACCAGTGGTACCTTACAATCAATCCAAGCATGCAGATGTTTGCCAATATCTTGAATATGTTCAAAAGCTACTGGTTGATATCTACAAGCCACAGGTAATTAATCATTATTTATTAATTTTTCAAAGTCAAATCATAAATTACAGGATACAAGATAGAAAATCATCAAATGTCTCCACAAGGACTTCAATGCTGGGTCATATATCATTAAAATTCAAAAAATATAAATAGCAAACATATGCCTTTCATTCCCTGATCAAGCTATTAAAATATAGTCGCTGAGTATTGAAAGAGCATAACAGTTTCACTTGTCTTTGAACATTTGAACCTGATGTACCAAATAGTTTTGGAGAAAAACTTGAAATTTTGCAAGGAATATATGAGCTCATAGTGTTTTGCCACCCAGAAATTTTGCAGTTTTTGATGGCTATTTCCTTTGTTACCTCTGATTGCAAAGAGCTGAAAATTGCACAAACTGCTCAGAATATCTAGCTCTTTCAACTTTTGAACCTAGCTTTTACATACACTGACATTTTCTATGGGTAAACTCTCATGCTAATGAGCAAAAATGCAAATAATGATGTCAGCAAAGATTTGCGAATTGTTCTTAACAGAACCAAGACATGCCAGTTAATGCAGATGAAGTACTCAAGAATGTTAAAGTGCCACTGGGAGGAGACCTCCTTGGACGAGAAAGAATTACTGGGGCCAAAAAGACTAGACTTGGGTGTGACAGTGCAGCAGAGAGATTTGAAAGTATTGTTGAGACGCCTGCACTTGGGCATGCAAAACAATCCTTTCTAGGGGTTAGTTTTTTAATTATTACATAATCTGATTATTCTTTATTTTAACCATTGTCTTTTGCTTTTTTTTTTTTCTGGTTTTGCCTATGTTTGGTAAAAAGATACTTAAGTTAATGACTAAGTAACTTTATTCCCAATCAAAAATGAAAATAGCAGGATGGGTCCAAGGGACAGCTATTCAAAATATTTAAAAAATATTTCTTTATCTTCAATTATCTGCTCAGAATGCATGCAGGTGGTACTCTTTCAAGATTTAAATAATTTGCTTTTAACACAATCTCATTTCCAGAGGCCAAGGCAGCACTTTTTCCTTAGTTATATGTCGAATCTGAGCATTAGCCTGGTAGAGGTTTGAACTCACAACCTCCCACTTGACAAGCTGGCAGTCTTCCAGCTGTGCAAGGTCCAAGGTTTTCCATGTCCAAAATTGAATTGTCATTAAGGTCAAAAAACATTTTCACCCTAAATTAAAATTTCTATAATTTAAAAACTAAAGAAATTCAACATGCAGTCTATGTTGAAAGCAACCTGAATTTCCTTTCAACTATATAAACAACAGATATTAGTCAGACAGAGTTCACATATAAATCAAGTAGACAATTAATAAACATTGCTTATTCTTTTTATAGTATATCTGGGAGCAACTTTACAAGCCAACTCCTGCAAGTGGTAGAAGAGACATTGGCACCTTGTATTACTTTAGGCAAAATTTTGGACTTGTTAATGTGCCACCAAGGGTTCAAGACAACTACTCAAGTTGTGAGTCACTGATGTTGTCGGCAACAAAGGCTTACATTTGTGCAGCATTCATGGCATGGACAGGGACAACAGACACTGCTACCTCTCCATCATGGGTAAGCTCTATTGCAAAGGAGAGAAATTCAGCAGTCCAGTGGGAAAGCCTGCAAATTCAAATTGGCAAGTTTGTTGATGAGTACGTGTTGACAGAGTTTGATATTGAAAGAGCCTGGCGGGAGCAGCTAGAACAACAATGCCAACAGAAAGAAAACCAAAGGAGGTCTGCTGGCAATGATGATGAGATGACTGCAATTTCATCCCCTGCTCAGCAACCATACTCTTCTGGTATGTCTATAAACAATACTTTAACATACAGTACAATGCTGTGTGTGTGAAAATGAAGTATTAAACTACATTATTTCTATTAAAATTTTCAAATATTGGTATAAGGCACCAGGGTGCAAAGAAAGTCAGTTTTGTGGTTTGCCATTCAGGCAAGCTGTAGTTAAATAGAACATGTACTTGCCCAAGAGTCATTTTAACTATAGCCCAAAAATATATTTTGATGAGAGCCCTTGCGAAATGAATTCCCAGCTTTCTGGGAATTCCTAGGAATTCCCAAAAATTCCCAACTATGCAAATCAGCCTTCATCAAATAAGCTTGGAATTCTTGAGAATTTTTGGGAATGGCAAATTAGGTCTCACTCTAGGCTTGGAATCCCTAGGAATTCCTAGGAATTCTAAGTTTTACAATTTTAGAAGCTTAAGAATTGTTGAGAATTTCTGGGAATAGAAAAATTCAGGCCAACTGGGCTTGGAATTCCTGGGAATTCCTAGGAATTCTAAGTTATGCAAAGTAGGAATTCAGCTCAGGGATGTTTAAAAATCCGAAAGGCTTTAAAAATTGTCGAAGATTTCGTAGTCTTTTCTTATTTCTTCACATTTTAATTTTAAGTGATTGCACTGAAACAATTCTAAACTTATAATACAGAACATACTGGTAATGTATACTTCTATACTTACATTTCTATATTCAACCCAATTTTTTTACCTAATCTGGTAATTCTGACATGTGGCGAATGCTGTTCACAAACCTCCAACCAGTATTTAAATTAAGATAACAATTTAACTTATCTAAATTACATTATTACAGCATATTACAGCAATAAATATTTGAAGCTGTTACATGTCCAGTGCACTTTCAGTGCAAAATGTTGTCTGAAATGAGAAGTCTCGTTTTTAAAAATATGAAGTGCATATCCAGTCTGAAATGTACGTTGTTTATCCACATACTCCACGGAAATTAGGCAAACGCACAAGACATGGGCTGTCTTGATTCCCTTCAACCCAAAAGCATGGCAAGCCCGGCCAAGCCCGGAACAACGGCCACAACATCGCAGTTCTTTGATTGATAATGCGGTCCAACATTTCTTTCCCAACTTAAAAGAACAACGTTAAGTTTACCTCTTGCTTTTAACACTTCAAATGCGTTGCTTCATCTTAATTAACGTTGAAAATAACTGCTATTTTGACACAAACGGGAGCACGTCGCAAGATTAGCTGCCATGTTTTCTTGTTTCCCAGGCTTCCACGTGTGCCTTTGGCACATGCGCGATTTGATTTACTTTGTCACGTACGACTTTTAAACCAATAGAAAAGTGCCAAATGAACTTCCGTTGAATAGTTCAAATTCACGCGGACTTCACAAGCAACAAAGTATTTTCGTAAGACTGTCTTTCTATTATCCATGTTATTTTCGAGACAAATTGATCAATTGCAAAGTTTGTGTTCACATAAAGCATGTTTGCAAGTGAGTTTACTCAGCTGGATTAATGCGGAAAGGTATGTTTTCTAATAACTTTGCGTAAATAAGCTTATAAAGTTCAAAGATGCATGCAAAGATATGCCATTGATCAGATCTCTTTTTGCTGCTTTTTGTTTACTGCAGATCGAAATAACTGTACTCTTTGTTGCAAATAGTCGGTGGAATACTCTGAAAACTGTATGTTCTGGCGCTACAAGGTTATAGCAGACTTGTCAAGACCAATGTTAGATAAAATAGGAGAAGAAATAGCATAATAAGTATACGTTTCCAATGGCTACTTATACAACACGTTAGAAGCAATGTAATTTCCAGTTAATTTATAAGGACTTGAGACTTGAACTTACATATAAAATATTAGAATACAGCCGGTAGGTTTGTTCATTTGAACTCTAATTCATAGTATAAGTTGCATAAGGTTTTATATTAAATGCTTCTGGTACATGTAATCTTAATAATCGCTGCAATAGTTAGGTCAGAAACAACTAGCACTAGCACTAGCACTTGCCTGATGTGTGGACCTTCAGTTCAGAAGGCTGCATCGGCAACATTGGAAAAAGCAGTCATTTAGCTTTTTTTCATATTCATGACTCTATTAATTATTTCGAAGATGTTTATTTACATGCATGTATGTGGAATGTGGTGATGTGTATGTTGGGTAAAATAAATTACAAAAAAGAGAATGTTCAGCTGATGTTGTCATTTGGATTAAAAACGAACACTATCTAGAGATTCCACCAACAGGGTATGTTTTTATATTTTTTTTCAATCATGACTAGGTATATGTTACTTTACATTATCTCACTATCTAGAGATTCCACCTGAACAGGTTATGTTTTACATTTTTTTTTCAATCATGACTATAGCGATAGTTTACTTTACACTACATGTATATCTATGTGTAAGTATATCTATATCTAAGTTTATTCATATGTATATAAGGACATAGTTATTAGAGGAGACTGGTTATGAAAAGCTGCAAACATCAATGATAAAAACAACAGTGCTGCAGTTTAGGTTGGAAGTACCGTGAAAGTGCACAATCCTTTGTTTTCTGTTGGCAAATTGTTACGGAATAAATTAATGCAACGTTTTTATTGGTCAATACAATCAAAATGATAGGAATTCTTTTGAACGTTGTGCACTTTCAGGTCCACAGAAACATATAACAAAAGAGTCTGACGGGTTTCATAACCATTCCACTCAATTAACTATGACAAGGACTACAGTCATTATACTGAATTATTTGGTTCCTACTTCACAAAAAGTCATTGTCTTAAATTTGATTTTTTGAGGTCACTTTTGTAATTTTTGGAACATTTAAACGATCAGTGCAGTGAAATTTTTAAGTCAAGTTAAAGCAGAAGTATTTTTTGTTAACACGGAAAGCTATTTTTCAGTCATTGCTGGAATAAACATTGTTTCAGTTTTTGTACATTTGCCTTATGGATTTCTGGTTCGGAGACCAAAATAGCAACTTCTAGTACTAACTTCCTTAACATAAGGGTTTAAATGCAAATCAGTTTTTGATTCGAATATCCCTTAATTCCGGCAGCAGGTCGATTTGTTACATCCCTATTGACCTAGCTATTCCAAGGAATTCCTAGGAATTCCTAGGAATTTCCTAGGAATTCCTAGGAATTCCTAAGAAGTAATCATTCTGTTTATATTCTTTCAAGGAATTCCTAGGAATATTTTCCAAGCCAACTGATGAGTGAGCAAAGCTTGGAATTCCTAGGAATTCTTAGGAATTCCATGTTCCAATTACCGTGAAATTTCACACCTTGATTCCTAGGAATTCTTAGGAAAATCCTAGGAATTCCTAGGAATTCTCAATTCCATTTCGCAAGGAGGATCGATCGACTGATAACAGTTCTGTAATTTGAATTCTCCTAAAAATTTCACTTGCCCATCAGGCAAGTTAAGAAAAGAATTCACTTGCCCGATAGCAAAATCCCCGAGCCATGGGCTATCAAAAGCGACTTTCTTTGCATGTTGGGCACCTCTAGTTATTATTAAGCTCTGTTAGTAAGAATAATAATTATGACTATCTTTCTGTCTTTATAAACTACAGCTCTGATCTTGTAAATGGACAGCTCACCTCAAAATCTACTTCACTGGACTGGATTAGTCAAGCGAAAATAGTGTTTTGCAATGTTATTTATAAGTCAAGTAAAATTCATATTTTTATGGTCATTATTCCGCAGGTTCTGTTGTCATTTTGCTGCAAAAATCTGAAGATTACAAAGTTCTAGCAGTTGGAAAAGTTGTTGAAGTTGATGCCCACATTTCTGTGCCAGAGAAGCATGTTCCTGTCTTTGTACCATCCATTGAGGAATGTGCCTCTGCTATACTTGCACCTGGCAATGTTGTGTTTTGGCCCACAGATCTGCTTGCAGTGTACAGGTCTCCAACAATGGGAACTGTAGAAACATCACAGACATCCAATAGTAACCTCAACAGTAACATTTCTGACATCCCTCCTGGCAGTGAGGAAGATCGCTATCTCAATTATGGGTTGCAGGTAATTCAACTGGGAATGATGCTCATGCAGCTTAATGATACAGAGGGTGAGGGAGATGGAGAGCGCAGCCTAATTAACTGGAAGATGCTTCTGTTGTATTTTAGAAGTAGGCCAAGAGGGAAAAAATATGCCTTTGAGGCAATGCGATTCATAACTTGTGTCAAGGGTTTATACACAGAGAAGATTGCCCATAGAGTGTTACATGGCCAGTTTGTAAATCCAAAGGGAGGAAAAGGATCCAATTATGCAAATGATTTAAAAATGGAACACCTGGTTGGAGACAACAAGGTCTCTCTTAGGGGACTGTGTGGAAACAAAACGCTGAAAGCTGTCCAAAGATGTTCTGCTGCAGCATATGGTCTTAAAGAATGTTGCACCCAGTATGACGATGAGTGTGGCATACACCCAGAGTCAACCAAGCACACTCATGCTTGTACCACGCAAGATGTCAAAGCAATGTTAACTATTGTGCAACAGGCTAGACCTTTTCAGTACCAAAAAGGTAGAACACTTCAATCATTTCCAAATCTAACAAAGAGTCCTCTTGACCAGTTAGCACTGCTTAACACCTGGCTGACAAACCACAAGCGCAGGCTTTTTTCTGGTGTCCATGACTGCAATGAGGAAGACAATGAGGAGGAGAATGAATTGAATGATGGTGATGAAAACACACCAGAAGAAGATGATGTGGATGATTAATGTATCAAAGTGCTTTGCCTCAGTTATTTCATAAGGACAATATAAATTGTGACAATGCTTAGGCTATTAGTATGCAACAAACAGAAATTACGATGTGCCTGACTTCCTGTTAGCTTGGCAATCAACCAACCAATAAGAAAATGGATGCTTACTGAAAGAAAGAAGTTATTGGTGGTTTAAGACAATCATGGTGAAGTTTGTATTTTTTTAATTCATTATCGGTTTATGTTTCACCACATTGCAAAATCTAGTATGTCTACTATACTCAGGAATGCATTGAGACAAACTCAAATCACAATCTGCATAGATTTGTTGCTCTTTCATAACAGTAAACAAATGTAGGTCTGGTCGCCTTTAGCTAC